TGGCAGCCTTCTGCTGTCTATTTGCCCCTTGATAGTAAATTGAATTGGCAGTATCAGACATGTCCTGATGTGTTCTGCCATGTTTTCAGTCTCCTTGCAAAATATGTACTCCAGGGCCTGACAAATTAGGGAAGAGATGCGGTTAGGGTTGTTAAAAAGGGGGCACTTATTTTTAGCTGTGCAGTCTGATGCTTACCTCCCTGCTGCAGGGATAAGTTGAGCAAACATCTGGGTGCCCTTGAGCAGCACTCCCAAGGGCATGGGCTGAGGGACAGGTGAGGTCCCCTCTCTGTAGCTACAGCAGGATGGGGAGGACGCCAGCGGGGCTGTATCCCATCCTTATGCAGCGCCACATCTGCCAACATCACCTTGAAGGACATCTGTCTGGCCCCTTCCCTAACCTACAAAGCCAGGTTGTGTGGCAGATCTAGTCCAGTGCTCAGCTGCCCACAGGTTAGCCCTCCCCACGCACCCATGCCCAGCCTCAGGCTGCAGTGCTGCTGGCAGCACACAGGACCAACTCTTCCCACCTCTTCAGCAGGCCTGAAAGGAACGCATTGCTGTGCTGACAGGACAAAAGGTTGTGCCAGGCCTTAACTAAATGGTTGCTCTTTCTGTGGTGGTGCCCTTTTTCTTAATATGCCTTTAATCAAAAGTGAAGCTGGATAACTTATAAATGATGCAGAACCATTAGCAATTAATGCATTGGGCAGGGCTTAACTGTGGCATGCTTTTTGCAGAGAGCCCAGCAGGCTGCTGGCGCATCTTGGCTTTACAGAATGTTTTTAATAGTTGGCTTCAAAATAGTACATTTTTTTGGAGCCCTTGCACTCACAGATCTTTATGGCAACAGCTCTGGCATGAAACTGCTCTGACCTCAGCTGCAGAGCAGGATGGAGAGTATTAGGCTTAATGTGAGGATCATACACAAAGATTGCAGCTCACAGAGCTGTTCTTTGGAGGTCTTCTCATGACAGCTTTCAGTGAGGTCTCATCTTGCCTATCTTTGGGATTAAACATTGTCCTGCATTTCTAGGGTGAAGTTCTGTAGTTTCAACTTCTGAAACGTCTCTTCCTGCTAGGTGTGCAAATCCTGTGTGCTCAGGAATGTATTTTCTGCAGTTTTCTGAATTACAAACTGATGAAGGGACAGTCATTTTTCCAATGAAGAACTGCAGCCTGGACACCTTCAGGTCTTACCGTCACACAGGTGTAGATCTGCTTACCTGGAACTTGCACGAAGTGTGTTTACAATGTATGAGGTCTGAAGCACTGACTAGCCGTGTGTGCTGTGCCTCTGCTGTGTCCCCATGTCCTCTCGCCCTCCCTTTCTCCTTGGAACTATCTGGGGATTGGTTCTGGGTGTAGCAGCAGACCATGCAAGCTCTGGCTAAGAGCAGTTCAAACAACACTGTCAGCCCCGTGTGGGCCCAGTAGCGTGGCTCATGGATCAGTGCAGTGTCCGTGTTCTCAAATCATGGAGTAACTCAGCCTTAGGACCATGTCTCAGCATCCCCAGCCTGAAAACCTGGCCTGGGCTGGGCTGGGCTCCCTGTGAAAGCCTAGAAAATTCTTGTGCGGAGTCAGAGCATGCTATAAGCTCCATCCGCAGCCTTTTGCATTTAGTTTCCTCACATACACTTAGGGGTTGGGAAGTCCAACAGCCCTCTTTGAGCATGTTCAGACCTCGTTCTGTTAGATGTAAAAACCTACCTAGTTTATTACTATAGATGTGCCCTGTTGTCCTGTTCTTGTGAGGCCAGCTAGCAGGGTCTGCTCACATTTGTAGCACTAAGCTCGTGAGTTCCAAAGAGGGGAGGACATCAGTGCTACCTAATAGGAATGGTTCATAGCTTGTGCCAGGCGTTAGGTGATTTGGGCACATGCTAGCTGGTTCAGACCAAAGCAGTTCCCATGACTGGCCTTCACCATGGGATTCCTGGGCTGTTTCTAACCTTGTTATATTTGCTAGCATAGTGGTAGCCTTGGACAACTGTTCTGCTACGGTTGTCTGTTGGACAACCTGAAGGCTAGTAGAAACACTGCAGCCCCCCTAAGATGCTTCTGCTTGGGACAGTGCAAGGGAGTGGTTATTTGCTGGCTGACAATGTGCTGTCTACAGCTCAGTCGTTAGTTGTACAACTAACTTGTACACTGGCCATAGCTGGAAAGGAAAACCAGACCACATTTGTGGGGAGCTCAGCTCCTGTGTCCATAGAATCCACACACCCCAGTCAGCCTGTTTTGCTGATGGCTGGTGGGAGACAAGGATGTGCAGATAAAGACATGGCTCAGAGACTCCTTCTCAGAGGTTAGAGTTGTGAACCAGATTCCCGCTGGCAAAACTCTAAGGAGACACACTGTTCGTGGGATAAAGGACATTTGAGTCTATCTTTAAATCCTTTCCAGTTTTCCAGCCTCTTGTTCTGAAAGAGAAGGCACAGCATCCCGTGATGTCCTTGCCCGTGTTGTCTGCGATGACTCTGTCTCCTGGTGATGCAGCAGGCTTCTGCTGGGGATGCACTCAGCACCAGTGTCTCTCTGAGAACATGTTTTCTGGGCTCTGTGGGTGACCCTCCTATATGTCTTAATTGCCCACAATTGACCACAACCCTACATTTCTCAGAGTGGGAATCACTGTCTGTTCCTGGCTTGATTTGGAGCTGGGTGTATTCAGATGTGAATTTAAATAGCTGACCTGCAGAAATTACCTTTCCTAGTCACTCTAAATGTGGTAGTTGGTGGTGTTATGGTTGTGTCTTTTTCTTGTTCTCAGTTGCCCTCTGAGGCTCTTTTTCTATCTGTATAAATCTCAGCATTGAACTTGTGCTACATAAGCAGCTTGTAGAAGGACACTGTCTTGTTTACAGTGAAATACATGAACAACAGCCTCAACTTCTTTCTTCATGTGCTCCTGTATGTAATTTCCAGACAAAACTTGGCTTTATGCAGGTCTTTGTACTTGTGTAGGATCCTGCCATGCATTTAGTGCTGTGAAACCTCAAAATGGTGATGGTGCAGACCATGGGTCAGTCAGGCCAGCTTTCTGAAGGATGGCAATGGCTGAGTGTTGCTGCAAGCTTTGCAGCCGATGGTATTGCACTGCTGGGGAAGTCAGCTCTTCCTTCTGCATTGGGTTTTCCTCCTCACTCTAAAGCAAGGAGTAATTCCAGGCAGATGAGATGGCCAGATTGAGTTGCATAGTGTGTTTATTCAAAGCTGCCCCATTTTTCTGTCACAGTTGATATATAAATACTGTGTTTGGGCTGCTTCCTACGCAGTTCTGGGTGGTATGCCAGGCATTCAATGATGTGCATATCCACAGGGCAGCCCCAGAGCTTAGAGGAGCTTGATTTTACCATCACAGTCTTAGTTGAAGAATTGCATTAATGTAGGATTTGTTTGGATTTTCTGGACCCTACAGGAACATGGGCCTTCACTGCCAAGAATCTGCTCTGTGCCCAGGCTATGCAGGAGCGTGTCATGTCAGGCAGCCTGCTTCTGCTAGTGCTGGAGCTGAATGAAGTAAACTTAGCAACAGATGAACATCTGAGCAGCAGTGAAGGTACTTCAGATCTGCAAGCAGATGTCCTTGTGAAGAAGTGATGTGAATGTCATTCTCCTCTCTGATAGCAGGGTCTCTGCAGTGCTCTGAGACAAGCTGCAGGCACTTTTCATGTTATTTTGAGCTGCAGGGACTGGTTAAATTGTCATGACAGTCTCTTAAACTCTAATCCTTTCTTTTCTTAGGACAGGCCTTCATGCGTTCTCATTTTGATGTCTGCAAAGTGGAAAGAGCCTGCTGGGGGCTCTTCATGTCTTTAGCTGGGTCTGGCAGCCTGGGCACATGGTCAGCATTGCTAATCCTTTTTACATGGAACACGTGTTATGAGCAATGGGCTGTATCTGCCACTGCTAGCAAGCCCTTTAGAGAAGAGCTAGCCAGATGCCTCATGAGCTTGTCCTCCCTCCCTGCTGTAGGACACTGCAGAGGGTGAGGTGTGCAGTGAGCACATTTCTCAAAGCAGCCAGGCGGGGAGGAGCCCTGGCCAGTGAGCAAAGGCTGCCAAAGCCATCGGGTGCCACAGAAGGGTAGGTGCACAGGCAGGGAGTAGCTCTGTGCCTGCACACCTCCCTCCAGCCCCACTAGCTGTCCAGTGGCCCAGGAAGCACCATGCTGTGTATGTGTTGCTGGTGACAAGGGCTCAGCCTTGTGGATCTGCTGTGCCACTCCTCTCCTGGGGATAGATTCACTGGAGAAGCTGCTCCCTGTAGCCCTGGACAATGTGCTGCCATGGAGATGCCCACCCATGGTGGTGTGCAGGGGTGAGTGCCTGTTCTGAGACTTCTTCTTTTGCCTCTCTCCTATGCCTTTCCTCTCCTGACTCACCCAGATAGGCCACCATCCCCTGTCAACGTGACTGTGACGCAGCTGAAGGCAAACTCTGCCACAGTCTCCTGGGACGTCCCAGAAGGAGATGTGGTCATCGGCTATGCCATCTTACAGCAGGTACCCAGGCTCTATCCCCAGGTGCTTGGGGACCCCTTTCACTGATTACCAGCATACTCCTATGTCAGCCCTTTTGCCACAGTTTGAAGCTCCTCTGGCACCTGCCTGACGACACCTCTGAGACACCAGGGCACTGTGCCTGAGCCACCCATCCTGGTGGGAGGCAGCAGACTGGCTGCACTGAGGGTAGCTGTTGCACCAGTGGCTTTCCTGCAATTTCTCTGGGTGATGGTGCTTCAGCTGTCATATAACCCTTCTTCGCTTGCCTTGCTCCACAGCCCCAGATAATGGTGGCTTTTCCAGGGAGGCATCTGGCTCTCAGGCCACACAGGGATGCTGCGTAGCAAAGTGCTGGCCCACCTCAGGGGTGGATGGTTGCCTGGGAAGGGAGGAGTAAGGGCAGCGTGCCCTGGAGACAGGGGTCTGAGGCTGGTGCAGCCAGGAACAGCCTCCTGGGGTTGACAGCTCTCCACTCTGGCAGCGGCAAGACGGACAGATGCAGCGCTTCATCCGGGAGGTGAACACCACCAACCGTGCCTGTGTGCTGTGGGACTTGGCAGAGGATGCGGATTACATCATCCAGGTGCAGAGCATTGGCCTGTACGGAGAAAGCCAGGCCAGTAAGCGTGTCCACTTCCGAACCCTGAAGGAGACCGACCGTCTACCTTCCAACAGCTCCAACCAAGGTAAGGTGGCTCCTCCCAGCTTGCCCAGGTGCTGCCAGTGGGACCACACGTGGAGGTCTCCACATGGGCAGCAAGGAAGGTGCTGCCCTGAGTAGCAGGCTGCTTGGGACACACAGGGTCATGACGGGTAGCAGGGTTGGACAGGCTGCTGTTGTGCACTGCGCTATGGCCATGATGATGTCCCCAAGACCTGGTTTACAGCCCTCCTTATCCCAGGTGTTGGCACCCTATTCAGCTAAGCAGGTTATGGCCTGCAAGCTACCAAAGGACAAAATGACAGAGCCTCACAGTCTCCTTTCCTACACATATCCACGTAGTGCCTTCTTTTGCCTTGGGGTTGCCTGCATGCTGGTCCATGATAGATAATCCAAGATCCAAGAGAGATGATGCCAGAGGGGGTCCAGTGGGAGTGTTGGAATGGGAATTCCAATGGGAATGTGTCTCCAGCATGAGGCATAAAAAAGGGATTTGGAGATTATAACAGGGCAAGCAGATTACTTACTCCCCTCAGTAATTTTGTATTGGACTCAGGGCCTTTTTAATCTGCCCTAGACTCTACATAGGGAGTAACCTCAGTGATTACTCCCATGCATTGTGCAGTCCCTACTTGAACCCAAACAAGCTGTTGGAATCCCTTTGGTACTGTTAGAATGCCTTTGGTATTGAGTGCAGTTTATCTGGCACAGAAAAGCCACAGGCTGCATGTCCTCTCTCCAGCCAAGATGTCGTCCCATACCCATGCTTGTTAGGGGGAGGCTGGGCCTCCTTCCTCTGGATCTTCTCAGTTGCTGTCCTGAAGTAGGTTCTGGTGGGAGGGTATCTGCTGCCAGCCCTGCCTGGGTTCTCTTCTCTGCAGGTGACATCACCATGGAAGGGCTGGACAAAGAGAGGCAGCTCCAGACAGGCGAGATTATCATCATCGTGGCTGTGCTGCTCATGTGGGCAGGTGAGTGCCACAACCAACATTCCAGCAGGCTGGTGCAGAGGTGCAATCCAGGGTCCATGAAGAGGATGGGGTTCAAGATGGTGCAGAGTCATATTGGTAGGGGTCTGGCAACCTTTCCAATGAGTCCATTGAATCACTGTAGGAGCTCGTGCCTCAGTCTGCTAAAACTGTAAAATGGGTGATTTCCTTCTATACAGCACCTGATTACAGCCAGTGCAAATAGCAGGTTGCCCTGGGAGTAAGGAAGCCTGGGAGATATGTCAGCACCTGACTGGTCATATGCAGCTGCTATCAATGGGAAGTCATTTGAGCCCAACTCCCTTCCCAGTAAACATGGATTTTTCTAGTGGTGTCTTGCAGGAATCTCTCCTTGTCCTGGCCTCGAACGCTTGTCTAGTGCACTGAAAGAAAACACAAGATGCCTGCTGCTAGCTTACACCTCTGTGTCAGAGTGCCAGCAGGCATGGAGAAATCGGGTCCAGGCTGCAGGTGGCTGTGGTAATGCACTGTGGTTTGAATGGGTCCAACACATCGAATGATTACAGTTCAGAGCATTGCTCCAGAGTCCTGCGTCCTGTGTCCCAAAGTGTGGGATGTGCTGCGTGAGATGGCTGGTGTAAACCAATGACAGAGTGACTGACCCCCCAGTCAGTTTGCAAGACAGGACAAAGCCCAGGACTGGCTTTTGTGAGGGTCGCAAGCACTGGACCAATAACTTCAGTGGCTTGCTGAGACACTCAGGAACCCACACAGCTGCTCACTGGCCTCAAAGGCTGTTCCTCCCTGAGTGCCTCAGCATCTGCCTTTGGCCTCAGAGCCCAGAGCTTGTAGGTACCAAGCACCTCACGTGTGCTCTGATGGCTCTAGCAGCGTCCATGCCTGGTCTGGCTGAGGAGACTGGCCTGGTCGTCCAGGCTGACACAGATAGAGGGTAATTGGTTTAAACTTAAACAGGGTAAGTTCAGGTTAGATATAAGGAAGAAGTTCTTCCCTGTGAGGGTGGTGAGGCGCTGGCACAGGGTGCCCAGAGAAGCTGTGGCTGCCTCATCCCTGGCAGTGTTCAAGGCCAGGTGGGACAGGGCTTGGAGCAGCCTGGTCTAATGTGAGGCATCCCTGCCCATGGTAGGGAGTTGGAACTGGATGATATTAAGGTCCTTTCCAACGCCAACCATTCTATGACTCTATGACTTTATATAACCGGCACCCTAGGGTGCCCTGGGCCTGACTGATTTCCAGGTGGGATGCTGTGGGGACAGGAGGCAGGGGGCAGCTGGTGTGAGGGAGGCCTTCATCCCCTGTCTTTTGGCAGCGGTGATTGCCCTCTTCTGCAGACAGTACGACATCATCAAGGACAACGACTCCAACAACAACAAGGAAAAGACAAAGCCATCCTCGGAGCACAGCACACCGGAGCGACCGAGCGGAGGGCTACTGCGGAGCAAGGTGAGGGGAGGGCTGGCAGGAGGGATGGTGTATGGTGTCTGCTGTGGCTTGCTGCCTGGACAGGTTCTGGCTCTCTCCAGAGACACCCCAGTCCATGCTCTCACCATAAAAACAGGGGTTTTAGAGTGCAGCGAGCCCTGGTCTCTCTGGGGTAGTGTGTGTGCTCCATGGAGAAACACTAGAAAAGATGGCAGGATATATCAGCTGGGATGGCTCCCACATTTGCACACCTGTCCTCTCACTGTAACAGCCCCTCCACTGTGCCTCTTCAAGGCTGCACCTTTTCTGCATCCTATAGGCAGGAGGCGGACAAGCTGGGCAGCTGTTGTTATGGTTCCTGCACTGGTCTGTCACTGCTCACTTTCTGCCTTCACTGGGGCCTGCTCCAGAACATCACCACACAGGTTATTCATGGGAAGCTTAGGGCAGAGGGCTCAGCAGCAGCTCGCAACCCTTTTGTAGAGGAGGTGTGCTGGTCTTGGTGCCTGCCGTGGGAGCTGGGGGCTCTGCCGTGGGGTCTGCATCCCAGGGGCTTAGCAAAATGGAGCCTTAAAGCAGATTTTTCTCTCATAGAAGAAGTCTCCCTCGGTCAATATAATCGAGGTGTAGGTGCAGCACCAGCTCTGCGTCTGGGGTCCTGGGTATCCTGCCAGAGCCAAAGCAGGCCTTGGAAGAAGAGGCAGCACCAGGTGCCCAGCCTGGAACTCTGCATGCGAAGAAGATCCGCGTATCAGAACTTACACTTTCCCGAGGGCGCC